TTATTTTGGACGAATTAAATCATAACCAAGCATTGCGTTACATTTTAAGTTTTACAGTTCTATTATAAATTTTAGAAAATGTATTATATACAACGGAAAAAACAAGTTTCTGTAAAATGATTTATTACAACATAAAAAGTAAGAATAATTTACTTTTATGTTCTTACAATAATATCTTACGTTACTCTTTCCATCGTTAGTCCTTTCGTTTTATTTTTATGCTTTGGATAGAAAAATTCATCAAACGCTCGCTCATTGATCCTAATAGTTGTGGTGGGGATTTATCGGAACTTGAGTGCACAAAACCAGTCGTCTCAGCCACCGAACATGACATTTCTACTGCTGCGTCGATACGAGTAACTTCTTCGTTGTTCACAGCAAGTATATTTGTTACACTATTTCGGAGACTTATAAAGTCGTATACATTTATATTAAATTATTAAAGTTCTGTCTTTTTCTATGACAAGAATTTTCAACACGTAAGCACATGTTTATTTGGCGCATATTTAGCTGTCTATTATTATCACTTAATGTATACATAATAACATAGCGGATTAAGTAAATCAACGCTGATTCACGTTAATCTTTGGTTAGAATCGATAAGTGTATTCATGGATAATAATAAATTTTATTTACACCATTGTATTTTATACGAATTTCAACAAAGGTAGAATGTTTCATAAACATGTAAATCATAATGTTAACCTGAAAAACTTAGTCCTTCTACCTCTAAATAAATTCTGATTCAGTAAAAGATTTTTGTGTATATGATTGGACATTTGAGAACCAATATATATTATGACCTTTTAAGCTCAGCATCACTGCAAGAAGTCATTAATATTAATGGCAATTTTATTATTTAATAAGGTTTATTTATAAAAAATATTTGTTCCTTATTTTATTCAAAATATGGACAGAACTTTTCAGTAGACTAAAATGAGGATTAATTTATAAATATTTAACTGGTATATAAGTCTAAATGGATATTTTATTTTGTTTATAGGAGCTTATTCCGTGTGATTTTAAGTGCTCCGCCTCAACTTTTCGCTCGTGCGCTACTAAGTTCATAACAAAGCGCTTGACTCTCGCTACCTGCTTCTTAGATTTTTGACCTTGGGTCTTTTGTATTGAAGAACAGATGGGGGTGTACAGGTGTTCGAAAACTCTTTTGTTACTCATTTCTACGAAAATATCAACTGTATAGTTACTATAAAGTACATTAAAATCAGTGTTAATTCAGATCAGTTCAGTTCAGTTTACTTCTGGAATTCGTTCTGTGCGGAGTAATTTAGCCTGTGAAATAAAATAAAATGCAGTCTTATCCTAAATGTACTGACCATGGAACGTTTCGTGCCTCAACACCACCAAAGAGGAAATTCTATGATAATCAACATACTAATAATGAAGAAGATATCGAACCGCAGAGTAGAAGCGCGAGAAAACTCTCTAACGCTGGCGAAGAAGATATCCATTATAATGCGCTTCATGGGTATCGTTTGCTTGAATTCTTTACAGTGTTTACAGCTTTAACAGAGATGTTGATATGTCGTTATTGTAAATTACCTGTAAAATTTGAAGAGAGTGGCAACAGAGGGTTAGGTTTTAAAATCGTCTTGCTGTGTAAGTGTGGTCGCAAAGACATAAATTCAGGACCGTTAATTAATGGTGGGTTTGAAATCAATCGCAGAATCGTGTTTGTGATGCGTCTTTTAGGTGTTGCTAGAGAAGGAATCAACTTATTTTGTAACATGATGGATATTTGTAATGGTTTAACTGAAAGTTCCTACAACGGTATTATCTCGATTATACATAACACTACCCAATCTGCATTTCGAGCTTCTACTGTAAAAGCTGTCAGTGAAGAAAAGGCTGAAAATGAAAAGCATGAGCGGCCAGTCATAAATTTAAAAGTTTCTGGGGATGGAATATGGAAAAAGAGGGGTTTCATATCGTACGGGGTCACGACCCTTATTGGATATTACTGTGGTAAAGTAATAGATTTAGTCGTTAAAAGTAGTTTCTGTGCAGGTTGTGCTCATTGGAAAAATAAAACTGATACTGAAGAATACCGTGAATGGTTTGAAGAACACGAACCATGCTGTCAAGAAAACCATAAAAGTTCTTCTGGCGCAATGGAAGTCGAAGCAGTTAAAGAAATGTTTTCACGGTCTGAAGAATTATTTGGCGTTAAGTACGGGCACTACATAGGAAATGGGGATTCAAAAACCTTCAAAGGAATTCTCGATTTGAATCCGTACGGTGACGATTTCCAAGTCGTAAAAAGCGAATGCATCGGCCACGTTCAGAAGAGGATGAGTACTCGACTCCGAAAAGCTAAGACGGATAATCATCTGGGAGGAAAAGGTAAACTCACTGAAGCCTTAATTAAAAAATTGTCTTTGGATTTTGGATTAGCTATTCGAAGAAACGTGAACTGTGTCAAGGACATGAGAAATGCGATTATGGCTACCTACTATCATATGTGCTCTACAGACGCCAAACCAAAACACGAATACTGCCCATCCGGTTCCGATAGTTGGTGCAAGTGGCGCAAAGCTGAAGCTTTGGGCGAAAATCCTGAAAAAATTAAACATCCTGCTCCATTACATCCTGATGTTCAAACCCATGTTAAGCCAATTTTTGAAGATTTATCCCAAGATGAATTGCTTGAAAGATGCTTGGGTGGTCACACGCAGAATGCAAATGAGAGTTTTAACTCTACGATCTGGCGACTTTATCCAAAGCATCTGAATTCTGGACGAAAAATTTTTGAAATTAGTGCTTTTATATCTGCTGGATTATTCAATGACGGGTACGCATACGTCTTACGAGTTATGAACTCATTACAGATAGTTATTGGTCGACAATGCATCGCCTACAAAGACAAAATCGATGACCAAATGGTGAGCCGAGAAGATGGCCGCAGCTCTTTGACGACTAAAAAAGCTCGTTAAGCATGTCAGGAAGAGCTTAGAAAGAAAAACGAGCACTACGAACGCACTGAAGGACTTCTGTATGTACCTGGAATCGCTGATTAGTTAGTAAGTGGCGTAATCATAGAGTTTTTATGTGTCAAAACTTTGAACGCGTTTTTCTCAAAACGACTTTTTTCAAACTGAAGTTCAAAATAACTCAAAAAGTTCTCAACCGACTTATATGAAATTTGGCACACATTTTTTTATAGTATTAGCTTCTAGTTGAACCTCAAGAATGCCACAAAAATTTTCAAAAATTGTCATTTTTTACCCAAAAACCGTCTAAAAAAAGGGTCAAAAATCAGACTTTTTTGTCTGAGTCGTGCTAATTTACGACTTTTTGACTTTTTTGTCTTTTTCTAGGTTAAACTAAAAGATACATGTTTTATGAACACGCTCCAATCCTTTTTTTTATTTCAGATTGATGTAACTGGAGCTGAAAATCCCACCGATTAATGCCTTTCGCCGTGAGGACCCCAAGAGATTGGCGACCATTTTGAAAAAAAAAATAAAAAAAAAATCGAATTCTTACATTTTAATATCTAATGAATAAGCATGCTGAGTTTCTAAACGATTCATTTATTCGATCCATTTTAAATAAGCCTCTAAAACACGGTCAAAATTTAGGCGTTTACATGTATCGCTGCCCTTAAACAAAATGAAAGGACGTGGAAAGGGTGAAAAGAATTAGGAAAAGAAAGTGCAAAGTGTCACAGGAAGGTTCTTCGTGATAATATCCAAGGTATTAATTACTAAGCCTGCGATTCGTCGTTTGGCTCGTCGTGGTGGTGTAAAACGTATCTTTGGATTTATTTACGAAGAAACTCGAGGTGTATTGAAAGTCTTCCTAGAAAACGTTATTTGTGATGCAGTAACTTATACTGAACATGGTAAAAGAAAGACTGTCACGGCTATGAATGTTGTGTATGCATTGAAACGCCAAGGACGTACTCTTTATGGTTTTGGAGGTTAATTTGTCAGAAGTGCATAAAATTGCATAAAATCAGCAGTGTTTAGTCAACATCTCATTTAAAAGAACCGTTAAAACGGCTCTTTTCAGGGCCACTAAATTTTTCAACGATAACGAACAAATTCATCTCTTTATCTCATATATTTATTTAATTTTTTATTAAAGAATCATCTTAAAATATATGAACAAACTAAAATAACAAGATGGCAACGTTCGGTGATTCTCTCATCGATGTTTCGTCTATTCAATGTTACCCCATAGCTTTCAATAGTTATCCTCTTCCTATCTCTTTGATGGTCATTTCGGTAAAACATTTTATGTACGAAAAAGACGTGCTATGACTAAAATAAACTAAAACCAAGGTTCTTACGACTTAAACAATAAAACAGCCTATCCTTTGTCATAGTTTATTACATTATTGTTCTCGAAGCTAGTTGAAAGAAGGTACAACACTTTTTTGCTAGAAGTGGCAACATTGCTTATAGAATGTTATGATTTATATCACACTGAAAACACTGTTGCCATTTAGGGATTGATGATGCTATGCAAAACGCTTGTTTTATTCTGATTCTGACTCGTCAACAAGATATAATGAATTGATTCTGTCCCTTTGAAAAGAAATTTATTTAAGTTTACTTGTATGTTTGAATGAATTCTCTTGTATCTTTAAACAAGCAATGAAAATTA